TCCCGGGCTGTCAGAGCCTCCCCGCAGAGCTGAGCTCCGCGCCGCCCACCGAGCCCACCTCGCAGCCCCGCAGCTGCTAGCGCCTCTCCGCTTCGGCCCGAAGCACCATGCCCGCCGCCCGGAGCCGGTAAGTTGAGAGTCCAGAGGGCTGGAGAGGGAGGCGGGGCGGCCTGTCCGCGGCGCGGATGGCTGGACTGGCTCTGGGCCGAGCTGGGAGAGCAGACTCCTCAGGGTGTCGGTCTAGGGGTGCTGATGGGGGGCGAGGGGGCTATGGGGCACCAGAGATTCCCCTCTCAAATTCCCAGGAGCTGGGAGTTGGGGAGAAGGTTTGGGAGCAGCAGGACCTTGGGTTCTAGGGCCCAGGCCGCCTGCCCTACTGCTCTGGGGACCTGAACTGTTGGGCAGCAGGAGGGCCGAGGGCCCGGAGGTGAGCCTGGAATGGGTGGCGCTCAGGGGGGTCCTGCACCCTGGGTCTCTTAGAGAAGGGAGATCTGGATGGATAGATCAGCCCGAGGGGCCTCTAAATCTCTCCTGCCCTCTGGCCGCTCAGACTCTGGGATCTGGGATTTGGCGCTCATACAGGCCAAGGTCACAAAATTGCTACCATCGTCCCTGCTTTAATTCTGGCCCGGGCGACAGGAAGGACAGCAGTACAGGTGATGGGGGGAGAAAGGGCATTTGGGCTGGAAGACGTCCTCTTACCAGGACCTACCAGGCATTTGTTTACAAATGCCACCCCGAACCCCAGTAGTCTCAGCTCCACCAGGAGAGGTACCTAAGAGAGTCCTACTCCTTGTCTGGGGTTCCAGGAAATCCAAGAGGTCTGCAAGTCTCCGAGAGAGGAAGACCCGAGGGCTGGGGCACATGCACCCACTCGGCCTTGCTCAACTCCATAAGGCCAGTTTGTCCTGGGGGGCAACGCCCTTCTGGTCCCCAAGACATCGGGAGGCGGGAGCTGGCCCGGTGGCCCTCGGTCTGGGCCTCCCCGCAAGCTACAAACCGAGGCGCTTGGCGCCGGCGGCCAAGGAGGGCGCAGGGGAGCGCAGTACGCAGGCGGGGGAGGCCGCGAAGCCCTTCAAGGACCCCGATTACTTTCCTTTGAATGAAAAACAACAACAACAACAACAACTGCTCCCTTCCCGCGCCCCCGCCCCCCTTAGCCTCCGGGGACCCGCGCTCTGAGCAATTGTCGACCGGGACAGTAAACACAGCTCAGTTGCCTCAACTTTCTCCGCACATAAAAGTTCCCGGCGTGCGGGGAAATTTGAATATTTGATCAGCCCCTTTGAGTGACCCTCATTAGCCTGGCGCCCTGCTAAGGCCCCGGCATTGCAAAAAAAGCTGCTGGGCCCGGCATTTGTATGCCTTGTTAGCGCCGCTTAATGAAGCCGCCCCGACCGCTCAAAGGCGGCCTCCGGGCCGGCAGCGCGCACCTCTCGGCACCCCGCTCTGCCTAATGAGCCCCACCGCCCGCCGAAGGCCCCTCTGCCTCCCACATCCTCAAACAAGAGAAGTTTGGCTCCGTCTTAGGCCACCGCACCTCCCACTGCCAGACCCAGGAGAGTGGGCACAAATCCGGCCTAGCTGGCTGTGGTGACCCAGCCCTAAGAGAGAGCGGTGGCAGACTTAGGGGATGTGAGCCATATGGGCTGGGGAGGGGGGGTGGCCTCAGGTTGTAGCTCAGGAAGCACACTGTCAACCTTTCCCATGAAGGCCAATTTCAAATCAGTCACCCCAGTTCCTTAAAGAACTGCACCTGGACTCATGTTGGGGTGGCAGAGGGCAGACGTCCAGGGGAGGGTCAGCTTTTCATCTTCCCCCCTCTCCAAGTTCCTTTGGTCTCCACTGCCCAGGAGGCTGCCTGCTTTTTTATGGATCCCCTTATGATATCCAGAACTGGTGTGTTAGGGCTGGGATTTGAGGAGCAGGCACACTCAGTCTCTCAAACTATCACTGACTGGCCCCACCATCCACAGACCTCAAGCACAGTCCAATGTTATGACAGTTGGCACTAGAGAAGGCAAGGTACCAAGGTATCACAGCCTACCCTGTGCCTGCTCCCACCCCCCAGTCATGCCCTGTTGGTCTCTCTTTAATCACTCATCCAGTCTTCAGGAGGCCAGAAGAAAGTGCTCTAGGCAAGGGGCCACTTCGCATAGCAAAAACTGGCTGCGAGGATGAGACTGAGACTAAAACAGGCCTGAAGGAGAGAAAGAGAGGGCTTGCTCTGGAAGGAAGGGGATCCAAAACCACCATCTACTTCCTCTTTTCTTGGCTGGACAGATGACATTGTTGACCAGCAAATGTCAGAAATCCCATTAGCAGTTGTGCTTCAGTCCTCTGAAAGAGTAGACTTCTCCTCCCTCTCCTCCGATGCCCTTTTTCCTGGACAGTTGTCACTCAAGGTCCCTCATTGCTCACCCAGCCTTTGGGTTTCTAAGGGTTACTTTGGGGGGGGGGGTTAATACAGTGAGCTTGGGAAGTAGGATGCTCTCAAATCTATACTCTGGGCCTTCTGGAGGTGCCCCCCCCCCCAAGGCCCACAATCCCTCAGACACACCTAGGCTGGCCAGGTTGGCAACCTCCAAACCCCATTCCAGGGTGGCCACCTCTAGGAATGAATGGCACCTAGCCAACCCTCATCCTTTGCCAAAAGGCTATGTAGGCCCTGGGATAGGAAAGCCTGAAAGTTCATCTGGTCTGCTCCTCTTCTCTTTCTCTCCCCCAATTCAACTGCATGCCCCACCCCATTTTCGTCCCACAACCCTGGAACTCAATCCCAGACTGATGATTTTTAGGAATCATCTCTGCTCTGGACAAGGCAGTGCCCAGGCCTTGATCCATGCAAAGGACAAAGGTAGGAGCCGGGAAGTGAGGAGTGGATGCTGTTGGAGAGAAAGGGGACCTGAGGCGGAGGGTACAACTCAGCTCTGTGGCCCCGAGGCCAGGCCCACCAACTGCTCGGGGGAGGAGGCAAGAGGAGGGGGCCAAGAGTCCGCGGGCATCGGTCGGGGCAGGAGGGACCTAAGGCGATGGCGTGGGGGGCTAGATCCAGAGGAGAGGGGCGGGGGTCGGGGGAGCGCGCAGGGTGGAGGAGGGGGGTGCGCTCTTTAAGAGCCACACGGCTGGCAGAAGCGCGCGGCCCGGTGCTGGTAGCGCATTGACCCCGAAGGGGATTTAGCGGGAAGGGAGCGGCCG